AATGTTGATGCATTGAATTAAATTATATAAGCTTACCCTTGTGTTTTTCCTTGTGTTGTCTTGTACCTGTACGTCCGTCCTGTCAATGCAATGATCATCCGTATGGATGTGAGCAGAAGGAGACGCACTGCTGGAGGAGGCGTTGGAAGACCAAATTTTAGAGGAAGAAAACTTAGTAGAAGTCGAAGTGAAGGCTGAGTCATAGGACGTTCGGTTTGTAGTTGTCTATTTTGGTTAGGTGGTCGTTCGTCCGTCTGTTGTCTTTAAATTTTTAAATGACCGTTCGGTGTCAATTTTGTAAACCGTTCGGTCTTGGTATTGTCTCTCTTATGGTTCACATCTAGTTAGGAAACTAGGTAAGGCCATTCGGCCAAAACCGTGCTCTCGTTTAATTAAGACTGATTTGGTTTATCATTAAATGTGATTAATTCTACTATATGGTGTTTACTGTATTTTTGGGATGTTACAATATGTATGAAAAATATTAATGAAATTATTTATTTCAGTCTATCCTAAATGTTTTTATTCATTTATAATTAAAATTCAGGACTAGTAATTTTTTATAAAAAAATGATTAGTTAGTTAACATTTTTTTACCTTTGAATTTTGAGAATTTTACTTTTTATTTTATATAATTCACATATAATGTGATAGGCTGTACCTGAAAGTCTTACAACGAAGACAACGTAAACTATATATCGAAATTGTAGACTCTTGCATGTCTTTTATTTAGAAGAAAATATTTATTTTATAAAATTTATAATATTTAAACTAACGATTGAATATAAGATGATACGATTGATTGTATATATATCATAGTACAGAACTTTTAAAATAACATAATCCCAATTAGTATAAAACTATTAAAATAACACATACATAGATAAAAATTTACAAAAAAACTTGAGGTTACTAGAACTGAAGATCCTATCTTTGACGGACCAAAAACTATCTATTTTATTGCTCTTCTCTCTCTACCAAACGCTGAATTCTCTTAAATATGTCCTCCCTAAGCTCACACAATTTAGGTGATCATTGTAAAAGAGAAAATATACTCAAAGGCAGATAACACAAAAGCAAGGATAAATTGCCTATAGCCCTGATCGGTACCCATAAACAAGGACCTCCTGGACCTCCTGCTACTCTCACCACATGTCTCACTGACTCAACCCCACAAAAACGATGGCCTTATCTCTAGTCGCCGAGGTTCGAGCGTGAGATTATACATTTTTAATGGGTGGTCCGATAGCGGGTGGAACAATATGTCCAACAAACAACAATATCGCTAGGATAAACTCTAACCATGACATTAATACCATGTTAGAAGTGGACTTTAAGCCTAACTCAACCCCACAAAATCGGCTTGTAGGATGAGGTTTGCACCCACTTATAAACTATGAAATGACCTTATCTCTAATCGATGTGGGACTTCCAACACTCACCTTTCTGTACTTGAGAACTGATGATCATTAGAGTGTTGGAATAGACCAACAATTCAAAGCTCTATACATTCATACAATAATAACAATACAAGGCATCACTATGTAACCCCTCCACGAGGATCATGAAATTACGTCTATCAATATCATTCACATAATCAACCACATATTCATTATCATCATATCTCTCAACAATCATATATATACTCCTATGCATAATCATATACATAATCTTGTTTTGAATTCATATTATAAATCAATTCATACTCTACAATAAATAGTATAAATCAATCATTCAAACACTCACATACATGGAACACACTTTAAGAAAATACATAGAAACTTAGTTGTGATATTTTCGCTCAGCCACCAAGTCTGCTCGCTCAACTAAATGTATCTACTAGCCCACTCACTTAGCCACCACGACTCGCTGTGCGAAAACATAAATAGTGGATTATGCTCGCTAAGTGGCTACACTCACTCAGTGAGAAGTGCTCTGCTCGCTCAGCTAAAATCCATTCACTCAACGAGACTGTATAATTTGCAGCACCAAAATGGCAAAATTTGCACCCTTCAACTACTCATGACCTATCCTATGCATCTTTCTCAACTTCTAACACTCCTAGATTGTATTCTAAACTTAAATGGACCTAAACAAATGTATCTAAACCAACCTAAACTCGTTTTTAAACTGATCGATCATAAGATTCCACTCCAAAATTAACCAAAACCTCACTTTAGAGACCCAAATTGAATTCCACAAGTTATAGCTCATATTTGAGCAACTTAGGGGTTTGAACAAGTTATAATTGACTCAAAGACAAACTCCAACTATTCCAAAATGCCTTAAAACATTCACATCAAAATTTCACCTCTCAAGACCCCCAATTTGCACCTAAAAAGCATCCAAAACACCACCAATTGTATATCATACATTTCTAAACCATTTTTCTGCTAAATCACCACACAAATAAGTTTCAAATGACCATACCACAAAGCCTAAAACATTATTTTTCCATTTAGACCAGTTTGTCTAAAATCACCTATTATTTTTTTTTTTGGGTTTTACAACTATCCATATTTAAATTAATATGTACTAGATATAAGATGTCATGTATAATCATTCATATATCTTAACTATATAATTATATTAAAAAAAATCAATACCGGAATAGAATCTGAACAACCAAATTTATACTCTTTCAATGAATTTGATTTACTTAACATTTAATATGAAGTAATTAAATGAAAACTAACAATATTTTTCTATCTTTGCCTAAAATGCTAAAAATTATATAAAAAAGTATGTATGCAGGGTCAAGGAACCAATAGTATTACAAAATAATGTTGTTAAACCCCTCTCAATTAAATTCAAAATCAATCTTAATTAGATGACAAAAAAATTAAGTTCAGCAGACCAGCATGTCAGTTCGGCCGAAAAAGGCTATTTGAGACAATGTTTTTAACTCTGAAAGTCTGAACCAAGTTGGTCCACAAAGCTTGCTAGTCTTGCAGTTTAGTTGGGACAGTTTAACAGCCCGACCTCATTAAAAAAAATTTAAATCTACATCAAAATATTTCATATCAACACAGTTTGCCGACCAAGCTGATACAGTTCGATCAAAATTTGACTAAGATAAAAAACAACCTGGACTTCAATATGAAATAAACTCAACGTTATCCTATTTTTATGTAAAAAATAAAATATTTTAGTCTATTTTCATATGATATTAAAATTTCAATAACAAAAACATATAGACGAGCCCTGGGAGTCTAATAACATAACAATAAACTAATCGAGTTATAAAATTCAATTCATTTTTAATTAACAATCAATTCAACTAATTTTTGACAAGCTAATATCAAGTTGGATTTAAATGGATAAATTAACGTGTTTTGTTATCCGTAATCTTAGCAATAAATTTACTATTATAAATATAAATAGTGAAAAAATTCAATTAAAAATAATAAATAAAAACACTTACTTATATCATGAGTCAATTCAATGAATAAATTTAGATAACCAGCTTTTAAGATATTTTAAATAGATAGATTATTGCATGTTTTAAGAATGAGATTTAAAAAAAAAAAAACAAGAGACATTGACATTCATTTAACACACTCTCGTAAGGGTAAAATAGTTTTAAAAGAATAAATTTTTGTAATTTAAAAAAAAAAAAGTAAAAAATGATATTATGTTTCAAAGTATCATTTTCATTTTCAAAATTTGAATATCTATTCTTAATATTTTATAGTACAAATTTTAAGGCACCAATCAGTATGGCATGCATGATGAAATTTTTAAGGATTTTGAAAATAAAAGAAAGATATAAAAGATATGTTATATAACAAATTTGTTATTTTATTTATTTATATATTTTATATATCAAACAACATGTAATTAAATATTAAATAATTATAATATTTGAATTTTAATTTTTTAAATTTAAATAATGATATCTTTTTATTTTATATAAAAATATATCTTAAATTAAAAATTCCCTATATATTAATTTAAATAAAAAAATAAAGTAAATATTCTCTATAATAACCTAATATTTCCGTACATGTAATGGGAAAATTGTAATTACTTATTCACATTTTTTACATAATTTCAAATACAAAAAACCCTATATTTTCTAAATAACACTCATTTCAAACCATGATGCATTATTTAATTATTATAAATTTAAATACAAATATTCTCATTTTTAATTATAATTTTTATCTTTCAGATGTAAGTGGTATTTTTTATTATAATCAATTTTATGTTGAAATATTTCTGAAAAAAAAAACAAAAGAATAAATTATTATTATTATTATTTTAAATTAAAAAGATCATTGCTGTAGGTCCAAATTGTAAGAACCTATCATATTTATAATTTATAATTTCATAATTATGTAGTAATTCTTGAAAGAAACCCATTTTTTATCAGTTCATATTTAGAAATGAAGTAATTTACCAGTGTTTATATTTTAATGATAATATTATAATAAAAAAACTAGGAAACTAGGTTCCCTGTTATTTTTTAAAGATAAATTAAAAGTGAGAAAATAAATTTTCAAACTTTATATTCTTATAAAACTAAAAAATATTCCTTTTATGAAACACTTTTTAAATGTAAAATAAAGAATGATCTCAATTAAAAATAGGCTTAATACCTTTTTTTGTCCCTCTTTATAAGGAAAATGTTCAAGTTCGTCCTACCTTTTTTAAAAATGTGGTCCCAAGTTTTGAAAAAAATGTCCAATTAAATTCTTTTTGGTCACGGCCTTAAATATTTTAATCACTCTGACAGCTGACAGCGTGGAGTGATCTGTGCAGGCTGTCGCTGTTTACCTTCATAACGTGGCAATGACAGTGATTAAAATATTTAACGCCGTGACAAAAAAGGATTTAATTACACAATTTTTTCAAAAATTAGAATCAAATTGAACTTTTTAAAAGAGTAAGAGGAACTTGAACATTTAGGGTAAAAAAAAAAGGTATTAAGCCTTAAAAACATGCATAAGATTGATAAGATTATTATTATTATTTTGGGGTGTGATCTATTTCACGTAATAAAACCCCTCATTCCTTAAACCTCTCAAATAAAAACCTATTTCTTCTTCTAACACTGAACCTTTCTTCTTCGTTTTGTATCTTTCTCCGATAAACCCTTGACGGCACCTGCTTTGACGGCGCCTGCTTTGACGGCGCCACCATGGTGCTCTACACCGAGGTAACAATCCTCTCTCAATGTTAACATGATTCTGGCTAACAGTGTAACTCTCTTCTTTCCTATAAATTTGTCTGACTCCGTGACCTTGCAGAGTGCGACGAATTCCGTTAAGGCGGTGGCGTTCAGCTTTTTAACGAGCGACGACTTGCAGCGGAGTAGTCTAGTGAAGATAACGAATCCGATTTTGCTAAATGCTTTGCTTCACCCTGTGCCTGGTGGACTATACGATCCAGCTATGGGCCCGCTGGATGACAAGTCCCTGTATGTTCATATTTCATGGATTTTCACTCTATTATTTTGATCACAGATATTAATTGTTATCTGTTCAGACCTTGTTTGTTTAAGCTTTTTCATGAATACTTGTAGGAGACGAAAATAAGAATGTACAAGAAAATAAATATTTTTAATTTGTAATATAGTTATATAGCTTGTAGAAGTTTTCTAATCTTATTTTAAGGAAAAACAAATGTGCACTTGTTATTTAAGGTAGAAACAAATTATGCAGCTTGACATTTTCAGAAGCACTTTCACGTTTCTGCTTAAGCACCTTTAAAGTTATAAGGGATTCTTTGGAAGTTAGTAATCAAATACTTGTCTTCAATTAAAAATCTCTCAGAGACTGGAATCTAATCCATACAGACATGGTTTTATCTCTTTTTAGTGAAGAGTTTGATGGAGCTTTTATGTTTTCTTTTTCTCTGGTTCTAGAATTGTTTTTAATCTGGTTGGGGAGATAAGTTGTATGGGGTAGTAGTTGATCATTTTTTGATGACTGAAGATGTTTAATTGAAGTTGTACCTATGTTTTTTGGCCTGAATAAAGGTGGGTGACTGAGACATGCCTTTTTGTTTGATGTAGTTGTAAGTCATGTGGTCAAGCTTCTAAACTTTGCCCAGGTCATTTTGGTCATATTGAACTTGTTTCTCCTGTCTACAATCCTTTGATGTTCAATATTCTTAGCAGTATTATACAGAGAACTTGTTTCTCTTGCTATCATTTTCAAGCTAGCAGAAAAGAGGTAAATTTATGTTGATTTGTTGATGTGATTTGGTAGTTTTATGTGTTTGTCCTTATACTTCTGCTTTTTGAAAGATATTTATATTGGCTATTGTTGGTTGGCTTTACGTTGATGCAAGGTGGATATGCGTACTACCCAATTGGAGCTCATAATGAAAGGGGATATTATCAGGGCCAAAAGTTTAGACTCTATTAATTTAGATGAATTCACACACTCAGGTGATGGTGATGAGAGCCACCATTGTAGTGCCGAGCAACAGGGAGAAAATTGGACCTCCCTTCAATTTAGTGAGGCAATGTCTATTCTAAAGAAGTTTCTGAAGCGACAATATAAAAAGTGTCAAAATTGTGGAGTTGTAAATCCTAAAATCAGTAAACCAACCTTTGGATGGTTTCACATGGTAAGATCATCGTTTCTTTTTACTTGGTCTATTTTCAGAAATTAGTTTATTACAGAATTTAAATCATTGTAATAATAAAAAGTAGTTTGTTGTCATTTAGCTCCAAGTTTCTTTCTTTTAGATCTTTACGCAAGCTCCAAGTTACTTTCTTTTAGATCTTTACGCCACACTTTCTTTAGATGTAATAATACTTTGGTTATATTCTTTCAATATTGTATATTACATATTGCACAGATATTCTTTTATATATATGCACACGGACATTTATTATGTAGAGCGGGTGAGTTGGGTTGGCTATGTGACTCTAACCTTACTGGACATGTATTATGTATGCTCTGTCCTCAACGTGTGGATATATCATTCCGCAACTATCATGCTACCTTAGATTTCAATAGATGATTATTTGTGTCCTAGCATTATTACTAATAGGAAGCTACATACTTGCAATACTGTGCCTGCTTTATAGCTGGGTTTGATTAGCTGTGCTTTACCATTCTCAATCATTATGTTTACAACTGCTAGTTTTTCCTCTTTTGTTTTTGGAATATGATGTCTTGGTAAAGTTAGAAATTTGAATATCAGAAAGTGCATATCTCTGCTGTGGATATTGCATTTTCTCATAGGCATGTTTTTTTCCACTTCTTGGTTTTGTTTCTTGTAAGGGTTTCCATTTTCAAATATTAAACGAAAATTTTTGTACAGTTTTAGAACTGTTATTTTTTTTTGTATTTAATTTGAATGATGACTTGGTGAACTTTGAAATTTGAATACCACAAAGTCCATATCTCTATAATGTAGATATTGCATTTTTTTCATATGAAGTATTTATGTTTATGCTCATGTCATAAGAAACAGATTGCCTTGTCCATAGGTCCATTCTTGTTGGTATTTCTAGCTGCTTTCTCTAATTCTTACATTTCTTTTCATTTCCTTTCCATTCTCCCTTTTTGGTTTCTGATTGATGGCTCAAGAATGTCCTTTCTGCTGATGCGGCTAGAGCAAATACCATCAGAGTTGTGGAAAGTGAAATAAACAATGATGATATGTCTTTAGGTGGTGGGGAGACTACAGAGGAAGAAGATATATCATCTGTTGGGGCTGTTAAAAGAGATAAAAGAAAAAAGGGGAATTTGTCTCACAAGCTAGCTGCACAAAATAAACTTTCTGGGTCGTTGCTACCATCACAGGTTGGTTTCATGTAAATGTTGGCCTAATGGGTGTCTTTTATAGCGTATTCTGTTTTGTAGGACAAGTGTCTGCTTGCTAAGGGCATGTTTAATGTAATAATAGATGCTGCTTGAAAATGTGTGTGGATCTTTTCATATAATTCTTTTCAACTTACAGGCTAAAGGTATTTTAGAGCTTTTGTGGGAAAACGAGGCCAGACTCTGCTCTTATATCAGTGATATTCAAGATCAGGGGTTTGGAAAGAAAGCTGGTCACTCAATGTTCTTTCTAGAGAATATTTTTGTGCCACCAATCAAATTCCGACCCCCAGCTAAAGCAGGTGATGATGTAAGTATGCTTAAGAGATACTGTTAGCAAATTTATAGATTTCTTTTATCTGATAACTATGTAACATTGGTTTGATATTAAACTTCATTATGTTATATTGGATTCTGATTATTGTTTCATGAGGAAAAATACAACACATGTAGATGGTCTCCTATTTTTGGAGATGAGTTTTTAAGGGTATTTCTTTATTTTAGGATGTTTATGTTCTATTTTTTTGTTCTTTTCTTTTTGTCCTCAGCAATTCGCATATGGTGACATGAATGGCTGGGAAAGTCCAGCTTTTGAAAAAAAAGAGCATTTAAATTTTGTTCATTCAGTTCCTTTACATCCTCAATAGTTTACTATAATTGCTATTCTTAAGTGTTTTTCTTCTCTTTCTAAATCATCTTCATACTGGTCTTTGGTGATAAAACCACTTTGACATCTTACCCAACAGATTAACCAACTTTTAATTCTAACGAATGTAGGAATGATTTCATATCCTAGAATTTGCTTGTGGTGCTTAATGGTATAGCTGAGTGTAGTAAGATAAGATAAAAAATAGAGTAGTAAAAATTATAATACAGCTGGAAATTAGTGGGCATACTGGGAAGGATAAGATTAGGGATGATAATGATTATATGCAAGTGCAATTTAGATTAGCATCTGTTTAATTAAGGATGGAAGAAACTCACTTGGGATGGTTTGTCTTGTCAAAAGAAGGCCTGTGAATGTTCCAATGTGTAAAGTGAATCAAATGCAAAGTAATATGATTAAAGGTGATGTCACCCTACCAAATTTAGGGAATACCATTTTTAAAGACCTTATTGTTCACGAGTTGTTGAAAATTTGGCTTTTTCAGATCGGCCAATTTATCCATGTAGCTGAATCCACCTAGTGTGAGACTTGGTTGTTGCAGAAATTAGGATTGTAGCTTTTGATTTTGATTTTATTTATTTTCTTATGTATTGCCATTTTATCTTATACTTGTTTTAATTGTGTAGTCAATGCTCATGTAGGTGATGGAACATCCTCAAACTGTTTTACTGACTAAGGTTTTACAAGGCAACATATCCTTAGGAGAGGCCCATATAAATAAGTTAGATCCCTCTAAGGTGCTAAGCCGGTGGATGGATCTGCAGCAATCTGTTAACTTGCTATTCGACAGTAAAACTGCTTCTGGTAAGAGTTTCTTATTGTTTCATTTTCTTTAACCTGTTGAAGATTTGAATGGTAATACGGAGCTGCCTGTGTTTAGGTTGGTTGAAATTTGTCAATAAAATCATTGACCAATACTATTATTAATAGATAATAAAGCAAATGCAGAAAATGAAAATAAAATTAATCTTATAAGTGTTAATTTGTGATAAAAATAGTAAAAGAGAGCTTAATTTTCTCTTGCCTGATTCATTCATTTATATTGATTCTTACATGAATAAAATAATATAATGATCTAAACATAGGTGTCTAATAGGTAATACAAAAGACGAGTTGACCTATACTAACATATTAATCCCTTCACATATGTTAAGTAATGCTGACATATATCTTCTTTATGTTTTGATGAATAGTTTACAATAAAAAAAGAGGAAGGAATCATTACAAATATGGAATAATGTTGTTAATGATTCATACGTAAATTTTTGTTTTCTTCTTTCTTGGTCTAGGCCAGAGAGATGTGGCTGCTGGCATTTGTCAATTGCTAGAGAAGAAAGAAGGCATCTTTCGCCAGAAAATGATGGGAAAGAGGGTTAATTTTGCATGCCGTTCTGTCATATCACCAGATCCTTATTTGGCAGTCAATGAAATTGGGATACCCCCATATTTTGCTATAAGATTATCCTATCCTGAGGTAAGGGTTGGAACTAGGGGTATCATTGAATGTCTGTGTTTGTTATATTCTTTATTTTTTAATACTGTTATACATTTCTGATGTTTATTCATTTTAGCTATAAGCGTATAGTATCACATGTATACTGCATACACTTGTGAAGTGTTCATGTTTAATTTGGAGGGAGACATGATGGAATAGCTTGGGTGTGAAGTGGTTAGCTTTCGCAGAACATATGTTAGATTCTTAATAAACTTAGTAGAACTGTTTTTTTGATGAAGAGTAAAATCAGTAAGTAGGTGCTACTTTACAAATACCAATTCCCATTAATACTAAACGCATTTAACTGATGCATGAACTGCATGTCAGAATATTTTGGTATTGTATCTTTCTTTACTTCATTTTCTTCATATATAATATATAAATCTAGTGATCTTGGACAAGGAAGCCATCTTTCCCTTGGACCCATATAATTTAAAGAAGGTAAATTGATACTGAAAAGTAACTGTTCTCCTATAAGTACAAGGGTTTAATCATGCTATGAAATGCAAATACAGTTTAACTCAGTCATCCGATAACAAGTTACCATTGTTATGGATTTTAAGATTGTGGTTTGTAATTGGATAATACTATAAAAGTAATTTACACTGTCGTTGTATAGTCTTTTTCTCTAAATATAACTGCACCAAACTTTGGCCTCATTATTCTTACCAGAGCACCAGAAATATAGAATGATAAATTGCTCTAGAAAGAAATGAAATGTTCAGAATTTATATAACTGATATTATACTACAATGGCCTTATTGGAAATTGAGTAGGTTATTACTAGCCATTGCCTTCATATTTCATTTTGTTTCCTGCCAATGCCTTTATGTTAAAACCTTTCAGAGAGTGACTCCTTGGAATGCCATGAAGTTAAGAAATGCTATCCTTAATGGCCCTGACTCCCATCCTGGTGCTACACACTATTCTGATAAACAAGCAACAGTCAAGCTTCAACGAAGTCCGAAGTTGCTTGCTATGATATCAAGAAAGTTACCTTCATCAAGAGGAGTTATTTTGGATCAAGGGAAGATTTCTGATCAGGAATTTGAAGGGAAAGTTGTGTATCGCCACTTGAAGGATGGTGATGTTGTGCTTGTCAATAGACAGGTAATGCATTTTCTCATCTGATGTTGTATAGAAATAATGCAATCTATATTTATTGTGGAACTGTCTTTGATTCCTTTAATGAATTTTTGTGGTAAAGAAAAAATTGAAAATCTAGTATCACACCAGAATGCTGGATGTATGCTTTTGATTATTCTCATCCACTATTTGAAACTGTCAAGTTAGTGTGGTTCTTGAAAATGTGTGATTTGAGTTAAAATTCTGTTTTTTATAAGTTCGCATTGGTAGTATTGCTTGTATAATTTTTTACTGTACACTGCAACATGGAAAAATAGTGAAGATAATATTGGGAAATGTGTGATATGGACAACATTCTGCCGTGAATTGAACTTTATATTCTATTGCAGCCAACACTCCATAAACCTAGTATAATGGCTCATATAGTTCGTGTTCTGAAGGGGGAAAAAACTGTACGGATGCACTATGCAAATTGCAGGTAATATGTAGCTTATGTTTGAGATTTATGTGATTGTGTTATAAATTATGTTTCAATACATTTGACTATATCTGACAATCATATAGGGTAGCTAATGTCATTAACTTTTTCTTTTTTCTCCTTTGTGATCTCAGTACTTATAATGCTGATTTTGATGGCGATGAGATTAATGTACATTTTCCACAAGATGAAATTTCTCGGGCTGAAGCTTACAATATTGTGAATGCTAACAATCAATATGTGAAACCTACAAGTGGGGATCCAATCAGAGCTTTAATTCAGGTATTTGCATAAATTTATTTAAAAAAGGCAGATCCATGCTGCAGGGCATAATGATCCCTCCTTTGTGGGGTCAGGGGGTGTTTCCCATAGTTGTATCCATGATCACTAGGTCTCTTATAGTAGAATTAAGTTTGCATAGCCGTCAGTCTTTGTTAGTAGAAATGAATTAGTTTGTGCAGCTCGGTCTTTGACAGCTGTCAGCTATTTCTAATAATAGGTGTTGTTGTAAACGGTGTCTATGAATACAATTTTGTACTCCTATTATTGTGTGAAATTTGATAATAAAATTCAATTCATTCTTCAGTTAAAATCAGTTTTTCTAAGATGATATCTAGAGAAATTTTTTCAACGATCCACTTCATAACTAGAGTTCGTTTGATGATTCATCTTCTTCGTCTCTAGTCGTCATCTTTGATCACTTTCTTGGCAGTTCTCTAGTGTCTTTTCTGTCTATGTTTTGTGTATTGATCCACTTCATAACTAGAGTTTGTTTGATGATTCATCTTCTTCATCTCTAGTGGTCATCTTTGATCACTTTCTTGGCAGTTCTCTAGCGTCTTTTCTGTCTATGTTTTGTGTATTGTTCTTCGTTACTTAGCATTTTTGTGGTTTGTGATTGTGAATTGCTCGCTCTGGTTTTATTTATTGAATTACACTTTGTGACGTCTCTATTCCTATGGCTTCCACTTCACATTCATTTCCAACCTTAATCACTTAAAAACTTGATGACTTGAATTATCTTCATTGGCGACAACACATTGAAATGGTAATCAAAACACATAAGTATAGCGATTTGTTGTAAATCTGGTGGTTCCGTTTTGATATCTTACTGAACATGATCGTACGGTTGACAATGTTAATCTTGAATATGAGGCTTATGATGTTCAAGACCAAACATTACTTGTTTTGCTTCAGTCTACTCTTTCGAAATCTGTTCTTTTTTATGTGCTTGGCTCCAATTACTCGTATAAGGTTTTGGAGAAGATTCATGAATATTTTAGTCTTCAAACTACATCTTGTGCACAACAATTGCGTATTGCAATGCATGCTGTTAGACTTGATTCCAAAACAATGGAAGATTATATTCTTAAGATTAAAATTTACGTTGATGAACTCGTTAGTGTTAACATTCCCGTCATGAAGAGCATGGTGATGCTATTCTTGAAGGACTTCCCTCCAATTTGCTCTAGTTGTCTTTTTTATTTAAAGTAAGAAACTCACATTGTCAATTGTTGAAATTGAAGCTCTTTTGTATGGTCATGAAACATGACTTAAACACACATTGCCAACTTAGTCTCACTGTCACTTCACTATACTCAAGACTTGTATAGTTGTGGTGGTGGTAATCATGGAGGCTCTCGTATTGGAGTTTCTTCTCATGCTAGAAATTTGGTAGAGGTCATTGTGGCAAATCTCCCAATTTTCAATGTCAAGTATGTAGTTTAGACACAACCAATGTTTGTTATTTCAAATATGATATTTTTTATCAACCTCATGGATCTCTGGACGTCATTGATCTTTCAACAACAATACATTCCTTATTCGACTGGCTTATATAAAACATCAAATTCTTGGGTAAATCCTATAACAAGCCTACCAACAATACTCAACTTAGTGAAATGCTAATGAAGTCAAATTCTAAAGGAAATGCCAATACCTCTTAGATACTAGATTCTGGTGCAAGCGATGCCTATAAATACAATTATGTACTCTTATTGTTGTCTGAGATGTGATACTAAAATTCAGTTCTTTCTAAAGTTCAGTTCAGTTTTTTGCGTCTCAATGTAACAACATAACAACATTGTTTCAGAGCCTCATCACCTTCTATTTGCTTATTTAATTATTCTTACATTATTTACAAAACTTTTCTTCTGTGTCCTAATATTTTTTTCCTCCAATTTTGCACTATTTTTCCAGGATCATATTGTGAGTGCTTCTCTTCTTACCAAAAAGGATACTTTCATAACTTATGAAGAGTTCAATCAATTACTCTATAGTTCTGGTGTATCTATGGCTGGGGTAGGCTCCTTCTCTGGCAAACACGGGCAGAAAGTTTTCATGACAAATTCTGAGTGTGAAATGTTTTTGTTTCCTCCAGCAATATGGAAGCCTGAACCCCTATGGACAGGAAAACAGGTTGCTATCTGTTAATCTTAGACTTAACACTTTCACACTTCTGATGTTTTAGCAAATTACTTTCTGGATAAACTGGGTAGAAAGTTTTTCATTTTCGTTTAATGTTATTTTTCCCTTGTATTATTTCAATATGATTTATTAAACTAAGGAATCAGTATGTTTGAATGATATAATGGTTTTATAAATTTAGTCTCTTATGTTTTTTCTAGGTTATCAGTGCATTGCTATACTATATCACCAGAGGTTCACCACCATTTACGGTTGAGAAGAATGCAAAAATCCCATCAAATTTTTTCAAAACTCAGGTCAGGGAGGGTGAAAGATATACACGTGATAAGTCAAGAGACAAGGATTTGCCTGATGAGGATAAATTATTGATATATAAAAATAATTTGGTGCGAGGTGTGGTTGATAAGGCTCAATTTGGTGACTATGGTATAATACATACAGTGCAAGAATTTTATGGATCGAATGTTGCTGGTAACCTACTCTCAGCATTAAGTCGGTTGTTTACTTCCTTTTTACAGGTTACTGATCAATTTATTCGTTTTTCTATTATTATACTTTTGTCAGTAGTTATTTAGCATGCATTCTTGCATGTTTCTGATTTGTTTGTCTTTCAGATGCATGGGTTCACATGTGGAGTAGATGATCTTATGATAATAGAAGAAAAGGATGTTGAAAGAATGAATCAACTAAGCAGTTGTGAGGAAATTGGTGACATTGTTCATCGGGAATTCATTGGAGTAATGAATGGTGATAATATAGGTAATTGAAATAAAATCATTTTATACAAAATGGATTCTAATATAATATTCTATTTCAAGATATGATAATATTTTTTAGATTGCTTTTATTTGTGAATTGCTGGTTTGTATTTAATATGTTACCCCCTGAATTTAATACTATAGTATGTTGAGTGCCTTGACTTTATGATGTCTGCAACTTAGTCTCTTATGTAACTCTTTACTTTCTAACTCCTGATATAGTGAAGTTCCTCAGGCAGAAGTAACTTGTCTTCTGAATTATTATTCTTTCCTTTAACGTGTTTCCTTGAACGATTCATGACTCTAATATCTTCAGTGCTGTAGAATACATTTCTTTGAATTGAAAAAGGTAAATTTATGACTGTTGTTATATTTGAACAACTTTCATAAAGCTGCTTTTTGGGTTTATGTACCTAGTCTAAAATTTGAGTGTTATAAGATATACTTTTTCCTTGTAATGCACTCTTCCTTTTTCCATATATATAAAATAGGTTTAATTAAGTTTCAACTCCCTCATAAATTGAATATTTTCAATTAAGTTCCTATCATTTTCTTTTGGTCTATTTAGTACTCAATTTTTATATTTTTTAATTGAATCTCTACTGTTTAATTTTTTTGTTAATTGTGTGATGTGATTGTTATTTTGTTCTTTCATCTTGCTTATTTCTCTCAAATTAAGAAATGTGAGGTTTTGTGGTTAATATAGAAGAATATTGTAGTTAATAGAAATATTAAATTGCAGGTGGTCAATTGAAAAATAAAAAAATTGAGTACTCAATTATACATATTCAAATTTACGTGGGACTTAAAACTTAATCATGTCTATAAAATATACATAACTTCTATCACATCCAAATTCAAGTTGGTATCAAAGTCCCATTGCTTGGCCATCACTATCTTATGTCTCCTACCGCTGTTATGACTGACAAATTTAAGGATAGGTGTGCCTCAAGAACTGCTTATCATGGTTTGTGTCCATTGAGTTATGGTTCCTTGGTCATGGATACTATGATCATTTGGAAAAGGAAATCAATGTGGTTTGGAATGAAGATAAACGTCCACGGTAGAAACAAGGTTTCCTGTTATGTGTTGTTTTATAGTAGTTAGGGGAATAAGATGTCTTAGAAATATTCTGATACAACTCAAAGAGTAGCCTATCTCACACAAGCTAGTCATGATATGATCTCACATGTAGCAAAGGGTTGAGTTGCCATAGAAGAATTAAGGAGATTTGTTGTAGTTGATGCATTGGAGGATATCAACAAAAAAATTGATAAGTTATACATGGTTTTAATTTTGAAAAGCCTACACTCAGATTTTGATCATGCATGAAATCAAATTTTAGCTGGTGATCAGATTTATTCAATGGACAACTTAGTCGTTAGACTTCTTCAAGTCACATTGTTAAAAGATGAAAATTCAGCTGAAGTTATTAAAACATAAGGAATGTGATAAGACTTTAAGGTGTATGTTAGGAAGAAGGTTCAAAATCAGAACTTTCATGACAGTTAAGGGTGGTTGAGCAGTTTAGGGGTGGTTAGAGGTAGTTATTAAGTTTAGTAAGGGTAATCTTTTAAGGAGGAAATGGTTCCTCCTGGTGGGTGGGTTGTATTTTCGTTTTTGGAATAGGGCTTGTCCTGTGTAGAAGGGATTTACTTCCCTTGGAAGCTGTTGAATGTTTTCTGTATTATGTTTTCTTTAATTAAAGTATTATCTTACGTTTTGCAGTAAGATTTGAGCGCTTATTTCTTTACTGAATCTGAAAATCTGGTTTCTTGTTCCCAAGAAACCTAATAGAATGGTTGCACTACAAGGAAGAGGAGTTCGTAGCACCAATAATAAACACTTATAAAACAAACTGAATTGGACTAGTGTTAATAATCCTGTAGACGGATGGGTTGCTGTTTTGCAGATGCCTGAGTTCTTAAAAAGTTTAGTCTTCTACTGAAGAGTATCTTCTAATGCATTTATTGGCAAACTATTTTTTATAAAATTACCTTGATGCAAAGGGGAGATTAGTTTGTGGGTTTGGGATGTGATAAGTTTAAGGTCCAGTATGACTACCATATATAGTCTAGCTGAATCTAATCCATCTTTGGCTTGTTTTGTGTGCCTATGTATCTTAGTATATAAAAATTCAGAGAATTTGAGAGGATGATAGTAAACTGAAAAGTTTGTTATTGAATTTATGAATACTCGTTTCATATAGTAGGTTGTCAAAGCATACATGCTTATGCAATACTAGAAAACTGAAGGAAAACTTTTGCCATTTGATTTTTTCTGTGCGAAATTGTAATATGCCTTAGTCTATTTTTGATTTCAGATACAACCACAATGCAGTTGAATATTGAGAAAAAGGTACGCAGTAATGGAGAAGCAGCCTTAACATACTTGGATAGGAAAATGATAAGCAATCTTAACTCAAGAACAAGCTCAGGAATATTAAAGGAGCTACTATCTGAAGGAATATTGAAACCTTCAGGAAAAAATTGTATTTCTCTTATGACTACATCTGGAGCTAAGGGTAGTATGGTAAGTGTACTGTTGTCTAAATGTTTGTCTAGATACCTCTGTTTCGTTAGTTGTGGGTGTATTGTTGTATGATTCAGAGCACTGGAGATACTGCATATGCTTTGTTAAAAAATCTACGAATTTTCTATGAATATTATAAATGGAGCTTGGCTCAAGTGTCTTAAATGCTACTCACATTTAAAGTCCTAAAATTTTTGTGCTTAAGATCCTATTGTAACCATTATTGTGGGCTACACATTTTAATTAAGTTTGTGCATAAGAAGATCCTATTGAAACCATTATTATGTGCTACACATTTTAATTATGACGAGAGTGAAACCATTATTGTGTGTTTTATAGTTTTTGAAATACAAGATCCTATTGAAGAGTAAGTAGATTATTCTCAACATTCCAAATTATAAAAAGAATAGCTTGAAGTTTATCTTTTTATTTCTTCTATGTATTATTTCTGTATGTTTTCATTCATTTCCATTTGTAGTTTACAAGATTGTAAATTTATTGCGGTACAAATCACTTATGCATCATGTTTATGGCTTAGTGATTTGAATTTGATTTCATATTCTTTTGAACAGGTGAATTTCCAGCAGATATCTTCTCATCTAGGTCAGCAAGAGTTGGAAGGAAAACGAGTCCCACGCATGGTTTCTGGAAAGACCTTGCCCTGCTTTGCTCCCTGGGATTGTTCCCCTAGAGCAGGAGGGTTCATTATTGACCGGTTTCTTACAGGCCTTCATCCGCAGGAGTACTACTTTCATTGCATGGCTGGTCGTGAGGGGTATAAAAATTACTTTTTGATTACATGATAGAAAAAAGTTCATTCTATTGTCTATTTTTCATTTTTCAAATTCAAGACATAGTAGATAGAATGGCCTCCTAATTTCAAGATTCATATGTATGCTTCTTAAGAAATGATGATTAAGATCATTTCACGTCATTGTCATTTGCATTTTTAGAACAATAATTTACGTGAGTAATAATACTAGGGCAACCTTGAAAGACTGTTCAGATCCCAGCGAATGATCTCTATTTTGCTCCACAGGTTAGTTGATACCGCTGTCAAAACATCTCGCAGTGGGTACCTGCAAAGATGCTTGATGAAAAACCTCGAGTGCCTTAAAGTTTGTTATGATCATACTGTCCGAGATGCTGATGGTTCGATTATTCAGTTTCACTATGGAGAAGATGGTGTTGACGTCCATCAGACTAGCTTTATCAACAAATTTGAAGCGTTGTCAACTGTACGAGTGTTTATTATTTTGAGAACACCATAAATTACACCTACAACTTGTAGCTTGTTCATATGTTTCACTATTTTTATTTTCAGAATAAAGAATTGGTTTATAGCAACTGTTGCCGTCAGCTAGACAGATCAAGTCCATATATTAACAAATTGCCCGATGCTCTGAAAGGAAAAGCAGAGAATTTCTTTCGTGACTCCTTAAAACAGAGAAATCTTGGTTTGAAACGACGAGATCTCTTAAAGTTGATGGAGCATAAGTATGTCTCTTGTCTTGCTCAACCAGGTGAATCGGTTGGTGTATTAGCTTCTCAGTCTGTTGGCGAACCTGCAACACAGATGACGTAAGATTTTTTTACATTGTCATGGACTTTGATCACTTGGGGTGCTCTTTATTTACAAACTGTTTCAGTAAGCACACGGAGTATGAATTTGTTAGGAGAACGATTCTTTTATGATTACTTGAACCAGAGTTAGCAAACACACAATTAGTTTTAATTGTAAGCTTGGATGTGGGTGAACGAAATTCTTAGTTGAGCACTTGTGGAAGATGAATACTGGAATACCTTCTTACAACTTCACCTGCATTGAATATAGGATAAGGGGATAACTATTTGACAAAGCAAGTCATTTGTGAAGTTTTTTCCTTTCTTTGATGGTTTGTGTTTGATATAAACTCTAAAAAAGCTTTCAAAGGGTTTCAACTTGGGTGTAATGAGTTTATGGAATGACTTTGCCATGAGGTGAACTAATTATATCTTAATTAACAAGTATAAGCTTGACCTTTATGGTATTAGAGAAGCTGCTGTGCTTTCTGATGATCACATATTGAAATTCTTGTTGCAAAATCTTGAGATTTGGACAACTTTTGGTATGTATTCCTGGTGAAGGTTAAGCAAAGCTAACCTGAACAATGACTTCTTTTGTGTATGGTGTTTATATAGGTTTGTTTGTGTTGTATCTATACAATTTTCGGTAATGATAAAGTAATTTGTACACGGGTGTGACCGATTACTTGTATTTTTGGCTTTTTTTTTTCCAGTTTGAATACTTTCCACCTTGCTGGTCGAGGTGAAATGAACGTGACACTTGGAATTCCACGTTTGCAAGAAATTGTCATGGCTGCTTCACGTGATATCAAAACTCCGTTTATGACATGCCCCTTGAGACCGAATAAATCTATGTGAGATACATTGCCTATTGTTTGTGTGTAAATTATTTTTGTTCCTGAAAACTTATTGCTTTTTGTACACAGACATGTATAGGTTTTTGATGCGATTGTTATTTGCAGGGAAGATGCTATTTGTCTTGCCGACAAATTGAAGAAAATCACTGTAGCTGACATAATTAAGAGTATGAAGGTTTCTGTTGTACAAGTAACAGTTCATGCCGGTCAGGTTTGCAGTATATATAAACTTGTGATGAAGCTATATAAACCTAAACAGTATCCAAAATACACTGATATTACCCTTGAAGATTGGGAGGACACTTTGAGAGTTTTCTTTGTGAGAGAGTTAGAGGATGCTATTGAAAGTCACATGGCACTGCTTTCTAAAATTAGTGGCATAAAAAAATTCAAGACAGATCCACAATCAAATTATTCAAACAGCTCAGAAGATGGTCATGGCAATGAATCAGAATCAGAGACAAAAGGTAAAAATAAGGATGATGATGATGATGATGGTGTTGTTGAAGACACTGAGGGGTATGAAGATCTTGGATCAGATGCGCAAAAGAGAAAACGGCAAGGTACTGATGAGGTTGATTATGAGGATGGTCCGGAAGAGGAAATGCATGATGGTGAGCAGTCAGAGGAAACTGAAAATGACGAGGATGGCAGTGATGTGGACGTTAATGAGAATGATAATGACATGACACTTGATGCTAATAATTCTCAAGGACTTGAAAAATCATCCAAGTTCAAGCCCATTGTTGAAAAAAATAGTTTGAAACGGGAAAAGAAAAAATCTAAAGCAATAACAAAAAAATATGACAGGGCAGTTTTTGTGAAAGCTAAAGGGATGCATTTCGAGATCCACTTTAAATTTACCGGTGAACCTCATATTTTGTTAGCGCAGGTACTTTTAGCTCATTTTTCTTTACTATGCCGTATAAATTTTGGGGTTGATGCCTTTCTATACTGCTATCAAAGTTTAGGTTGTTATTTTCTTAAAACTAAAAGTAGTTTATTTTTATATTCTTGGGTAATATAAATGCCTAGAAGCAAAGTACCTTCTACGCTGGTCAGGTACCTTGGGCATTATAAATGCCAAGAAAAACAGAACCTTCTTCTACCAACACTAAAATTAGTTTATTTTTATATTCTTGCCATTTTGTAAATTATTGATTTTTGAAGCTAGTGTTAGTTACTTTTTCATTTGAAAATCTTGGCGACGTTAAAAATGTGCTAGCATGTTTTGAAGAAAAAGATGATATGTGGCCATTCCTCAATCTTTTTCTTATCCTATGTATATGTTCTAAGGAAACTGTGAAGTGAACTATGGTCTAGAAGCAAATAGGGCTGCTGTTGCCAGTTGGGTATATATATGTCACTTCCTATTTTTAGTATAAAACTTAACTGTTTTCAACTTAACTATATGCAGATTGCTCAGAGAACAGCCAAGAAGGTTTGCATTCAAAATTTTGGAAGGGTTGGTGAATGTAAAGCTATTACATGTAAAGAAAGTGGAGTAATATACTATGGTGAAGATGGCAGGAATAGGGATGATATTCCAGCCTCGATGAAAGAAAAAATACCAGCATTGCAGACATCAGGGATACATTTTAAAACATTCTGGGAGTTGCAAGATGATCTTGATGTTAGGTATATTTATTCAAACAGCGTTCATGCTATGCTAAGTGCTTATGGGGTGGAAGCAGCCAGGGAGACCATCATTAGGGAAGTACAAAATGTTTTCAAATCTTATGGGATATCAGTAAATATCCGGCACTTGACACTCATTGCTGACTTTATGACGCACTCTGGTGGCTATAGTCCTATGAACAGAACGGGGAGCATAGCAGACTGCACATCCCCTTTCATCAAAATGTGCTTTGAGACAGCTTCCAAATTTATTGTTGAGGCAGCTTATCATGGGCAGGTGGACAACTTGGAGACACCATCTTCCCGAATTTGTCTTGGTTTGCCTGTGAAGGTGGGAACTGGGTGCCATGATTTGATACAGAAGCTTGAGATATGATGTAGCTGGCATGTTCTTCAGCACCAGACCTTTGGCCCCCACATGCCTGCAGGTCATGCCAAATTTTGATACCATAACTGTACTACTAAGACAATTTCTGAGTCCATTTTTGTCTGGTTCGAAATTAAATTGTTTGAGGTAGAAGTCGCATAGTTTGAAATGCCATTCATTGTCCCGTATGTACACTTAGGTGCTATAATGACTAGTGTTCCTGTGGCCTTGATTTTCCGGTTGTTCTATATAATTTGATTGTCTTTCTTCAACAATAATAGTCTTGTCTCACCAAGTGAAATAGGTTACAACTTACGACAAATACATGATGCCATGGTTTTAGTATTTTCTCGGTTGTTCAATGGTAATATATATATCAGTGAGGGTATAATTGTTCTTTTGGTACTTCCGGTACCTTTTAATATATATTGCTTTGGCTGATAAAAAATCATTGAGGGGATAATTAATTTGGTAACGTGATCTGATTTTAGAGAATCATTACCTCCTGGTAAACAAATACTAGAATAATGATGTTCTTATAGGGAAATTATGTTAACTCATTATACAAAATGTTTCTGTGTATATTTTTTTTCCTGAAGGAAGATATTACATGAAAGTACTGGATTTAATCAGAATTGATTGCATGAAAATGAGTCAAATCAAATTTAATGACCAAAAAACCCATATACCTTCTAATGAGAATCTATTGTTCTAGATGATATCAAATATTTTAGCTGGAGAATGAGAAAGAATAGAACTTTAGAGGAAGGAAGTATTTATACAATTGATGATTATGTTTGCTGTCTGATCCAAAGTTTAGGACAATCATGATGATTTTATTTAATATTAGTGGCTCATCACAAAACAATGATTAGGATTTTACTAACATTTAATTTTATGATTTAAAATAACTCCTTAGAATTTCGTAAATATTAAACTAAAGTATTCGAAATGTTTCTACATGATTATAAAATTATCTCCATAATAAATTTTTCTAAAACATGCAGCCAAAATGTTTCTCTAGAACAACCTAGCATGTTTATAGAAATTACGCTTGTTGTTAATGACAACGAAGACTAGCAAAATCGAGTTTATAGGTCATAGCTAGCGCATATCAGATCATGATCTCTCTGTTGCAGATGAAAAAAAAAAAAGAAATTATGATCTCCTTGTAATATATACGATGTCTTTTGAGACATGGCGTATTCTATCTGTAATGATTATGATTAGAAACTACTGATACTAAGAACAGTTTGGCTAGTTCTATGGTATGCATGATATTTACTAATTTATTTCTCCTTGCAATTTTTAAGAACATAAAATAAACGAGTCTTATGATTGTTTCACTATTCTTTTAAAACGGTTAAAATCATTGCTTATATAATCAACAAAAGTTGAGAACTGTCAAGTCAATTCGTTTAATGTTGAAACAAGATAAGAATTGATTATAGTTTGAAAATCCCATAAACCAATCCGGTAAAAGATGCACTTACAATGTCTACAAACTTTTCTCAACACAAGCCTAAGACTTTTAGAAGTAAACATTGAACAGTTTTTGTTTATTTTATCAGAAATCATATTTTTCATTATCATATATATATATATATATATATATATATATATATATATATATATAACAGACAAAGACACGTTTATTGAAAAAAGTGTCTAAATAAAAAGTGTGCGTGTGTATTACAGCTCCCAAAAAAACATTTGGAAGATTCAACACAAAGTGACAAGTTAGCAATTATGGTCTCAAAACAGGTTAACTGTGGTCTGTCCAAAGCCACCGAATGAAAATGACACTATTTTTGGACTGTTGAGAGGGAGCAGTAATGACACTCGAAACTGTTGTCCCTTAATTTATCATTTTCCCTTCTTTCTCATCATATCAGAGAGCCAGCAAAGAAACTGAGATGAGAAAATGCATCAAACTGTGTCTGTTTTGTATTTATAATTCATCACCAACTCAGTAGGGTCCTTCTACATCACAATCCTTCTCTTCATTCCTGATGCTGATTGTCTATCTAACCTTTTCTACGCTCTTTCTTCATCATCTTCAATCTTTCGTTTTTAATATGACAAAACATTGTAAAATCAAAAGAATTAGTGTTCCTATTTAACTACATTATTCCTTGTGACCTGTGAGCAACTGAAAACCTATCCACATGATATGTATAGATAAACAATGTTCTAGTACACTCATGAACAAAAATCCGTCCACAGCTTTTTCTTTCTTTTGATTCTCAAACTCATTAATTATAAGAGAAAAAACCAGACAAACTTTAAGAAACTTTATAGTTATACCATTCACTCAGAAACTCACATGTATAATAAATTCGCTTTACATAAAGAAACTGTATTTTAAACATGTCAGATCAAAACAACAAACTTATGTGAAGCATTTTGATACTAGTTTTTTCTTTGAAAGAAACTATTCAATATTTAATGATTTTTCAGTCTTGGAAATGGACTAATGCAGTTAATATGAAGAATGACTATAACCTTAACACATAAAGCAATAATTAGTGTATATAAGAAGACATAGATTGTGTTTGTAACTGAGAAAAATGCATGAAGTTTGATTGTGAGAGTAGATTTAGATGAATGCAGTGAGGCATAGTCTGTGATAAAGTAGATATATAATAATAGATGAGGTAGGTGTGTATTTTGTTTGTTTAGTATGGTGTTGATGAGTCCTGAATGATGCTTGATGCATGCATGCCTGGTGGAGTGAATGTCTCTCTCAAGAACAGTGATTTCATTTTAGGGTGTACAGAGAGAGAAAGAAAGATGATGTCAGAACAATGTGTCTACAGTGACTCTCAATCATCTATGGCCATTCAAACTTCCAAGATTAAGTGCCACAAACACTCCTAATCTATACCTACCACACAATATAATTATAGGATCTGTTCCATTCTCCCTTTACTTTTTCTTTTTTAGAGAAACATTTTTTCTAAACCAATGCTACCTAGACAAGAAAAGTTTTACTTTTTAATTTTGGAGAGTGGATTTTTCAGATACTTATGTGTACTACAAAGATAGAACATATGTCACTCATAAAAAATAATTATATGCAAATATGGTGTCTACTTTTCTATATTCAATGAATGAATATCGTCCCCATAATAATTCATTGGTGAGAAGTATTATATATATATATATATATATATATATATATATATATATATATATATATATATATATATATATATATATATCAGCAAGATTTGGAAGAGTATAGATGAAAGGAAGAGAGAATAAAGAGAGGAATGAAGATGAGATCTTTAATTTGAAATTCAGGGATATTTCATTAAAAAAAATTCAGGTAATCAAGGGATTTATGTCATATTTGATTTAACCAACTTCAATTTTTTTTATTAATTAAAAGTTTGTTTGACCTTATTAATAGTGTTTTTGTAAATGTTTTTTTTTAAATCATTAACTTTTACTTTATATATTTACTATCTATTTTTAAAAATATTTATTGTTTTTTATTATTTTGTAGTTGATATTTGGTTTCATTATATATCTTTCTCTTTGTTCACTCATAAAATATGAATTTAATATTTTTTATTATTTTAAAATTACAAATTTAGTTTCTAATCAAAAGTTAGAGTTTTCACACACTTTTCTTTTGTTATTGATTATAAATTAAGATTTTGTGAGCTAAAAATATTCATTCAGAGGAGAAGTTGTACTTCAGGATGAGTTTTTATTACTAGTTTATTGTTACTATAATTGTTACTAAAAGCATAAACTTATTTTTGTTGTATGTATGAGAATGAAATTGAAATATGAGAAAAAAAAATGCAATGGTACAACATTGCATTATTCTATTCACTACGTACACTAACAGTGTATAAATGAAAAACAATTATGATTCAACGACAGTCAAATGTGTTTTTCAGCCCAAATTTTTTTTTCATATATTTTAAAAATAATAATAACTAGTTTTCTTTTTTACCTAAAGTATTTTTAAATAATTATATTTTTTTAAAGTTTATTTTTCAAATTTTTTGGATGTCAATAATTTATTAATAGACAATGACAGGTAGTTTTATATGTTTAGGTTTTAACATAATTGCATGCCAAAATCAGTTTTCGAATTATCCACATGAATTAAACCAAACAATTAAGACATTTTCTCTGGCTCTATAATTTTGTATTTTGTAACTTTATTTGAAGTATGACACATTATTATCTTTCCTTCTTTGAAAAAAGAAATTGAAAAAAATTACAAACAATCACATTACTATCCAAATCCAAAGAAAATGATCCACTTTAAAAAGTAAAACAAAAATTGAAGTAATTAATTTAAAATTAACTATTAAACCTATACTTGCACAATTTACTATGGAAGTACAAGCACCCTTTTTTATTATACAAGTACATGCACTTAATATGCTATTTTTATTTTTCACTCTTGGTTGAAAGATAGCAACTAAAACTACTTGAGATTCATTTATGAGAATGGTCTCTTTCAACATACTTTTTTTTTCCACAAGTGCAAACCAGATCAAACTTGTAACTATTAAGATACATCATCATTTTGAGAATCACATTGAAATATTTCTCAATTTACATCATGTATATGTATATATATCTTTTCAAAATCTAGCATCACATGCTACGATTCGATTCAAACCACTATAATTAAGTGTATAAGTTCCAAGGGGACCACACGGGATTCCAAGAAATATTAGGAAGGAATTAAGGAACAATAAATTAATTTAAATCATGGACTCTATTATTAATTCATTCTTTGTTATGATCATAGGAATTAGACATTTCACAACTATATATATATTATAGTTTTGAAGGTTTTGAGAAGACAGGATGTATAATTAAATTGATTATCGATATTCTCTTTGTAACATGAACCTAAGGTATTGTAATGTTATTGCAATAATATTATAAGATGACTCGTGGTGTCTTGGAAATAGAAAGGAAGAAAGAAAGCATGCATGGGATCTTGGTCAACACAAATACCCCTTTTCCTAAAAAATGTTTTATTGTGTCCCCTTTTTAGTACACAATAATTTAACTTCTATCTTTGTTAAAGGTATACCCTAAAACTATGCTATACACTCTATTTTCTTACATTATTTTTTTTCATCGGTCACAAACCTATGCGTATAGTGCTTCCCCCACTCCTTTTATCCTACTATAAAGTTTAAACTTACATATTTTCTCTTCTCAAAACTACTTTTATGTGCTCTCATATTTAAAAAAAAAAAACTAACTTTGAATTGGAGAACTTAAACTT